TCCCCCCTCCCCTCCCCTCCCATCTTCCCTCTCTACCTCCTCTGCTGTTGTTCAATTCTCTCCCTTGTTTCCCCCCCCCTTTCCCCTCCCAACCTCTTATATGTAATTTTGTGTAACATTGAGGGTCTCCTTCCATTTCCATATGATTTCCCTTCTCTCTCCCTTTCCCTCCCACCACTCATCTCTGTTTAATGAAGCTAACCTCTCTTAAAAGATGAAAACACGTCGTACGTATTTCATTCAGTCAAAACTAGTAAGTTTTCTCTAATTTATAGAGTTGCAATAAAACATAGTTATATACTAAATGTCTCCTTTGTCTTCATTTAAAAAAAATATTCATGCAGTTCCAAGAAGTGTTGAATTCAGCTTCCTCATGGATTTTCTCCTGTTGACTCTCCCAATATTTTTATTTCATCATTAACCTGCTACAAAATCAAGTTTAATTAGAATATAAAATCCAAATGTATGATGTCATTTTTATCAATCCTATTTATGCAACCATTTTAAAAGGAGGGCACTTTTCAACAAAGAATATTTAAAATCTTTAAAACATGTCATAGTCACAGCATATCTTTAATCCTACACTGAAGCCAGGTTAGGACTGAGACGGTCTAATAGTGACATCCGGGTCCTAGAAGAAGTTCTTGGAGCTAGGCATGGTTTCTGTGCCTGAGGGGCAAGACCAGGCTCCTACTTCTTATTTGTTGCCATGTCTCTGATCTTACAAACCCCAGGGGGAATCGTGGCACCCCTGACATTTTTTCCCAACTAATGACATTAACCAAATTCTTATTTATCTTAAAACCACCACTATGTTTTCATCATAGTGACCTGTAGAGAACCCTAGGCCACAAGTGTGGATTGAACAAAATGGTCATGGGTCCCTTTTCCTCTTTCCATCTCTCCCCCACCCTCAGCACCCCGGGCCCCATGACAGGGTGTTAGATAGAACCTCAGTGCTGAAGAGGCACAGAAGGGCCAAGCCAACCTTCTCTGCGTTCTGCCCACTTCACCATGCAGTGTTATCCAGGTCTGGCTTGTGTTTCTTATTTATTCTTCCAAGTTCCTGGAAAGGGCACACCTGGGTCTTCTCCTGGGAAAGATGGTTGGTTGCATGGATGGCTGTAACCTTAACTTGACCTTGGAAAAGCCATCCTCCCTTTGGAAGTGGTGCCTGTTGTCCTGGGGCTCATGTGGATGTGCTGGTCCCAGGCCAACGCTTCCTTACCACTAACTGCCCAGGCACAGGCAGCCGGTGGACGGGTGAGTGTGACCACCGTACCCCTCTCATCCTTCCAAACTCTGCTCTCTTTATTTCACATGCTTTGGACATAGGCAGGTGGAAGAAGGATAATATGGCAAAATCCACTGATTTTGTGTCCCCTTCTGGGAAGGAATGGTGTCAGAACTGAAACCACAGCTGTCTACAGTGCACTGGGGAGGTCAGACACTTCCCCTGGAGAAAGTGGCAAAGTCGGGGTGGTTTGTGGTGCTATTTATTCCAACAGTCCTCCTTGGAAACCACATCTGACTCACTGGGGAAAATTCGGGAAGTGAGTTTGGCCAGAGGAGAGAGAAAAACTGTTCAGTCAAGATGGTTTTAAGGTACTTGGAGATTTTATTTCCTCACCCAGTCCCTCCTCTTGGCGACCATTATATGTCTATTTGCTCTTTGATTATACACAATATATTTAGATATGCTAAAGCAAGTGATTAATATTTTAAAGACATTAAAAAACACTTTTTCAATATGTACAATGTTTTCAAATGTGATAAATTTGTCAAACAGTGAAAAGAAAGACACAAAAGAAAAGTGAGTTAGCCGGGCGCTGTGGCGCACGCCTGTATTCCAGAAGCTCCGGAGGCGGAGGCAGGAGAATGGAGAGCTTAAAGCCAGCCTCCGCAATAACGAGGTGCCAACAACTCAGTGAGATCCTGTCTCTAAATAAAATACAAAATAGGGCTGGGGATGTGGCTCAGTGGTGAGTGCCCCTGAGTTCAATCCCCAGTACACCCCCCCAAAAAGTGAGTTATATTACACATCTTTCAGCCTCATCTCCAAAGTTGAAAGCTTTTTAAACATTGGCTCTATGAAAGGAGAAAAGGAGAAGCATCCCAGAGGCAGAATCCCTTCCAGTAGCCTCAAGGAAAAGGACCAAAAGACCAGAGCCAGCCCATCTGACAGGGAGCAGACAGGGTGGACCAACCGCAAGTGCCACTCAGCTGAGAAAGGCTGCCACCACGCCAGGGCTGGTGCCCACTAATCCAGACTGTCAATCTCCCTGTCAGGCTGTCAGTGGACCAGCTGAATCCTCACCCAGATCAACCCCGAGGTGAGTCACAGAACCTTCATCAGGTCACATAAATGACTTAGAAGCCAACAGACTCCTGGTGGTGTGGCCAGTTGTCCAGGAGGCTCACTGCTCATCCTGCAGACAAATTTCAAAACAGAAAAAAGGACCCCTACACACCCCACCACCCCTGGCCCAGAAGGGATCAAGGAGACCAGGGGAGAATTAGGACAGAGATTGTTTGGAAAGAGTCAAGATCAAAAATCTGTAAGATATGACACAGGTGTTCGGCCCAAAACCAGGGAGGAAATTTCCCAAAGATGGGAGCTTTCATGAAACCTTCTGCCTTTGTGGACTATGGTAGTGGCCAGGGCTCCTGTGTCCCTTTTTGGAAGTCACAGCAATTCACAGAGCCCTAGAAGATCCAGCACCTGCTCCAGAGGCCAACGACATGGAATGCCCAGTCAAGTGCAAAGCCAGGGTGGGCCTCACTGCTGGTCACGAATCTTCCCCTGAAAACTGCAATGATCCCAGATGAGGGTCAGTTGGTGGCCTTCTAGAATGGTCCGTTTTGAAAACTCTGTTTCTGCAAACATCTTCAGATCGAATTCCTTTCTGAGATTTTTTTTTTTTCTCGTTTCCATTTTACTCTTTGGTTTCTCCCTGGCCCCCTCGGTGGGTAAACTGTGTCTCTTTACTTCCAAAAGGACCATCTGCTTCAGAGGGAGGCGCCCTCACAGGGAGCTGGTGGTGTCCAGCAAATTGGATAACAGTTTCAAGCTGCCCTCTCTCCTGGTGAACGAGACCCACTGGGCCTGGCTAATGCAACCCAAGTTCTTCAGGGTTTTCACCAGATCCCGGCGGAATCTCTCCCCCACGAAAACGTAGAGAACGGGATTCAGGCAGCTGTGGAAGAAGGCCAAGACCTGGGTGACCTGGAAGCAGATGTCGATGTTGGTGGAGATGGCACAGGTGGAAATGAACCTGGTGTAGGCATCTACGGTCTGCACCAACAGAATGCAGTTGTAGGGGAACTGAGATAAGACAAAGACCGTAAGGACAGTGATGGTCACCCGGAGGGCCTTGTGCTTGGACGACTTCTTGGCTTGCATCAGGGTGTGGATGATAATGGTGTAGCAGCAAACCATGACCATAAAGGGCAAGAAGAACCCCAGGATGACCTTCAGGGTCAAGACGGTTAACTTCAGTCTGAGACTGTCGTCCCTCGGGTAGACCATGGTGCAGATGGTGAGGTCAGATTCCCTCTGGACCTGGCTGTACAGGATTTCCGGGATGCAGAGCGCTACTGCCACCACCCAGATGCTCAAGCAAACCATCTTGCTGTACAGAAGCCTCGTCCGCCGCCAGGTCTGGGCTTTAGTGGCCTGGGTCACGGCGATGTATCTGTCCACGCTGATGCACATGATCAGCAACCCGCAGCTGTAGAAGTTCATCTTGTACATGCCGTTGACGACCTTGCACATGACCGTCTGGAATTTCCACTGGTCAACAGCGGCGATGGCCCAGAAGGGAAGAGTCATGAGAAAGAGAAGGTCAGCAATCGCCAAATTCAAAAGGAACGTGTCGGTCATGGTCTTCACCCTGGTGCAGTACCAGTAGACGAGGACCACCAGGCTGTTGCCCAAGGTGCCCACGATGAACACGAGCCAGTACAGGGGAGGGAGGAAGTGGCTCGCAAACTGCCTCACGTTGTTCTTCTTACAGAAGAGTTCGGTGAAGTTGAAGTTCATGTAGTCGTCCACGGACGATGTGGACTCGTAGCTGTAGTCGTCAGACATATTAGGAATAAGGATCTGCGGGAGGACACAGATGGCATTAGCTTAAGCACCATCTTTTGGACGTCCCGTCTGATGGCAGAGGTGAGGACCACTTGGCCTTTCCAATGCCAAAACAAAAATCTCTAATAAGGCAAAAACATAAGAAAGCAGAAACACTAGGGTTTGGATACGATGGGTATCCCCCAAGGGTCCATATGTGGGAATACGGGACCCCAATATGGTGGTGCTGGTGTGCTGGAACCTTTAAGAGGTGGAGTCTAGTGAAAGGTGATTAGATCATGGGACTGTCGCCTTCAGAACAGATTATTGTAGTTAGTTCCTGCTGGTTAATAGCAGCAGGTTGTTAGGAAAAGAGTAAGCCTTGTCCCTGAATCCCTCTTGCTTCCTATCTTGCTGTGTGACCATTCATTCCCTCTGCCATGTGCCCCCACCATAAGGCCATCTGCCATGATGTGAGGTAGTCAGAAGGCCTTCATCCGGAGCTGAACCAATGGGGCTGCCCAGTTTGGACATACAGCCTCCAAAACTGTAAACCAAATAAACTCCTTTTCTTTACATATTACCCAGCACCCAGTATTTTGTTATAGCAACAGAAAACTGACCAATACAGGTTGTGACATTCCTTCATTAAACGTTTATTGAGCACCCACAATGGGGTACTGTGCCAGGTGCTGAAGATACAGTGGTAGGTAAGTCAGGCATGGTCCCCACTCTCATAGAATCTGCTTTATTCATGAAAGATAAGCAAAGGTTTATAGGGTGCATGACAAATGCCCTGATTGGGTAGGAAAGAGTGAGTCAAGACCACTGACAGGGCATCATCCAACTGTGTGAATGACTGTGATAGTGTAATTGTCCCTTCTCCCACCTACTCCACTTCACCCCCACCACACACGCAAAAGAGAGGTCGGCAGGGGGTCTTAAATGTACGTGGGTCACAGCACTCTGAGTTTCCTCAAAGTTCCAGAAGCACCAACACACACACTTTCAACACCCGCATGTATGCAGATATACACAGTCATTTTCTCTCAACTGCACGCACACACAAGCATCATGACCAGCTACATAATTTTCAGGGCCCCTCATTTAAAAATTATTTAAGAATTTCTAGGCAGCAAGCATTAAATCAAGTAAACAATACGTCTAAGCACATGGCCCCTGTGTGACCACATGGGTCACATGCCCAGAAAGCTGGCTCTGACACGCACACACATGTACACACATGATACATACGTGTTTCTGCACACGTCCATGTGTATAAACAAACCTACCCTCATGCTCACACCCATGTGTATGCACCTATGCACATGTCAATATACACATAAAAATGCCCAAGTCTGGACATATTTGCACTTTACACTTTCTCATTACACTTTCTGTGTGTTCCTGGCCCAGATGCCATTCTGGGGAAAAGGAAATAAGGGTTGGAGTGGAGATTGGCAGATGTCTGCCACCAAAGCACTCCATTCCCACACCTGAGACAGTGATACATCCAGGGAGACCTGGATTTCCGTGCCTCTGACATCTGCCCGTGGGGTGCAACACAGTGCAGCCTCAAAGGCTCCTCCAGTTTGCTGAAGACCTTGAACCTTCACTCAACTCTCCCAGCCTCGGTTTCCTCGTCTGTAAACAGGGCTCTGCCTTTCCTGTGAGTTGAAGGCTTGTGGGGCACTGGGTGGTGATGGGCACAAGATGAACCCAGGAAGGTGGCCACAGTGTGTCATGGCTACTTTCGATCCAATGCAGGAGCCAGGGCCACAGAGGTGCCCCTGCCCTCCCTTTATCTGCTGCTGGACTCCTCTGACCATGGATGGTCATCAGTGGGGTACATTCTTCTTGAATGAGGTCAACTTTCAGAGTTTGGCTATTTTCCAAGATTCCAAATGAGAAAACTAAGTGATCGACAGTCCAAGGAGTAGTCTTGGCTCTGCTGTCTCAACCTAGCTGTTTCCTGAGCCTCATCTTCCTCATGCAAGAAATACTACTAATGTGCCCGCCACAGAACTTTCTAGAACAAATGCAGCAGATTCTCCCTTGCTCTCCTTTGGTCTGAGTTTCCGAATGGATACATGGAACTAAGCCCATCCTACTTCAAGATCAGAAAAATCCTTAGCTATTAATAAAAGCTAACATCAACTTTTTCCCTGTCTTCACAACATACCCACCAAACCTGATTCTCTGTGTGTGCAAAAACCCTCCATGCTGGACAACCACCTGCAGGATGGTGGGCATTGCTGGGCAGAGAATTTACTCTAGGAAACCCCACAAGGAAACCTTTTACCCACTGCAGACTCCTTCCCACATCCTCAGAAAAGAAAGACCACGGTGCAATTCGAGGCTCCTTTTGGCCTGGCTGTACTCACTGTGAATTCCGTGGGAGTCATGATGGGTCACGTCAAGCCTCCTTCTAGAAAGAGAGGACAAAAATCAAAAAGAGGACTGGCTTGTAAATGTGCAATAGTCATCAAACACCAATCATGGAGACTGGATACTGAATCTGTTCATGCTCATGGACCAAAGATTCCAAGTAACAGAGTTTATGTTACGTTAATACTAGGTCAAAAATATTCTAGATTTCAGGACCACCTCAGTTGAAAAGAGAAATGAAAGAAACCTCTTTTGAAGCTGTCGTTTACATCTTTGATCCTGACAGTTGTCTGATACTGGTATTTGCTTTCTTTTACTGTTTAAGTGTAAACAGTAACGAACACATCTGCTATCCATGAATAGATGGCTCACATTTTCCAACCTGTTCTTTTTACATGACTTCCTTTTCTCAATTCAACTTGTCTGTCAGGTCCTGTTTTGCTCAATGGCTCCCCGACTCCCCCTCTCACCCTATTCTGTCAATTGGGAGACTCACTAAAGACATCAGAGAATCAACAGCTTCGTTTTCATCAAGGAAGGGATCTACCCCTGCACCAGGTCTTGTCTTTTACACTCCTGATGAGTAGACTTAAAAAAAAAAAAAAAAAAGTGTCCCATGCCACACTCCAAGGTTCTAGAAGAAAATTTTCTTCTGCATAAAAACCCAACACTAAACCGTGGCTTCTTTTCCACAGCAAAGCCACAGCCCATTCTGCTTTTCTGAAAGTAGAGTGGGTTTCCATATATACAGGATGGCACAACCACTTTGGAAAACAGTCTGTTTCTTAAAAATGTTAAATGTGCACTTACCATGTGATCCAGCCACCCCACTCCCAAGTCTTTACCTAAGAAAAATGCAAGTGTATGTCCTCAAAACACCATGGCAGTTTTATTTGTAATAACCAGGAACTAGGAACAGCCTGTATGTCCGTGGAGTAGTCAACCGTGGGCTATCCACCACCAGAATAAGGAATTGAGTCACACAGCAAATGTGGATGAATCTCAAAATAATTATGCTAAGGAGGCCAGACCCACAAAAGTACATGCTATATGATTCTACTTCTGTAAAACTCTAGAGATGCAAACTAATCCACAGTGATAGAAAGGAGCTCAGCGATTCCCTGGCTAGAGAAGGGAAGGGGGAGGGACAGCAAGAGGACAGACAGGTCCTGAGGTGCATGAGGGACCCTCCAGGGGGATGGTGAACATGGTCTCCGGGTGCAGCCACTTTAAATATGTGCAGTTCACTGTATTGCACCTCCGTAAAGCTGTTAAAAGTGAAAAGGAAAATAATTCTCTTTCTGGTTCACCGCACTAATCAGTCGCCTCTGACTGTCAGCAGCAGCTGGGGAGGCAGCTAGGACTTCCTCCTCAGCAGGACCCTGCGCTTGATCACAGAATTGAGGGAGCCCCATGAATTTGAGCTGTTTTTTTTTTAAGTAGATTAGATTAGATAGTAGGATAGGTAGAGTGATTAGATGATAGATCAATAAAATGATGATAGAATGATAGACAATAAATAAGTAGAATAGGTAATTAAAAGGGTTGATGGATGGGCCAATAGATACACAGAATGATGAATGACTAATAAATAGAATAGATGATAGATGGTGGCTACAAACATACCTAGATTATAAGTAGATACACGGAATAGATGGTAGAGAGACATAGGCAGGCTTGAAGGATGGATGGATAGATGATAGATAAATAGATCGATGATGGATAGACAGATGGTCTGTTTCCCATATGCATTTCCTGGCTCTTTCTGCCTACAGGACCTAAAAACAAGGGCACTCAGTAAAATGAGCACCTAGTATACTCCGATCTTGGTTTCTAAACATCTTTATCCAACAAAAATCATCAAGGCTCCTTGGAGAAACGTCTGGTTCAAAAGCTGGGACAGGAAAGCTCCCAAGTAAGCCTGGAGCAGCTTTTTGCCCCAGAAATCAAGGTCATGCTCAAAGGACCATGAGGACTTGTCAAAGGACATAGCCGCCAACATGGTGGGGCTCTGACTTGCCAAATCTGAGGCAACTGGAGCATCAAATTAAATAAGGACAGTAATGATTACAGCACGTTCAATAAGACGAGAATCAAAAGTAGTCAAAATAAGTGAGTGAGTAAATAAAAAGAGAAAGCTCTTCTTAGGATGCCGACCAACAAATACAGAAGGAAAAGGGAGTTAGAAAGTCATCAGTGGGAGCTAAAATAAATGAGGGAGCATTTGATGAGCAATAGGATATTGACCTCTCCAAGACTCTCCCCTAAAGTGACGTATTAAATATAAATGGAAGATTAGTAAGTACAGCAGAGAAACCCAGAGGATACGGACCTAAGCCAGTCTTCAAACCCAACACCATCAGCCTCGGGGCAAACCGACGTCACACTCATCCTAAAAGGTGCAGTGACTAAATGTCAACCTAGCCAGGTGCAGTGGCGCACGCCTGTCATCCCAGCAGCTCTGGAGGCTGAGGCAGGAGGATCTCACGTTCAAAGCCAGCCTCAGCAACTTAGGGAGGCTCTAAGCAACTCAGCAAGAGCCTGTCTCAAAATAGAAAAATAAGAAGGACTGGGGATGTGGCTCAGTGCTTAAGTGCCCCTGGGTTCAATCCCTGGTTAAAAAAAAAAAAAATCCACCTAAATCTAATAGAGGACACACTAGACAAACTCAAAATGGGAGACTTTCTGAAAGTAACTGAATGATACTATCCAAAAATATGAAGATCAAGCAACACACACACACACACACACACACACACACACACACAAGAAGCTGGATTTGATCCCACAGTGGGGAAAACACAATTCCAACGGACATCTTTGGGACATGGAGGACGTTTTAATACACACTATGAATTGGATGATAGTGCTGTGTCCGCGTTAAATGTCCTGATTTTGCTAACTACACTGAGGCTCCATAGAATGTCCTTGTCCTTAAGAGAGAGAATAATAGTCAATGGGACAAAATGAAAACAACAGTTTGGGTAAAGGGTTCCTGGACATTTCTGACACAATTTGTGACTTTTCAATAAACTTAACAGTAGATTCAAATAAGAGTTTAAAAAATATTTTTAAAGAAAAGAAAAATAAATGCCTTGGAAATTGGTCCCAAGATACAAGAAAGCCTGCAGCAGGGACTTCCTCTGAAATCAACACGGTAGCCTCACCCACAGCCTCACACCAGGCACCTGAGCAGAAATGAAATCTCACTGTAGCCCTCAGGTGCCGGAAAATTCCTAGCCCTTCTCTTAAGAAATGTTTCTATTTTACAACTTATTATTATTATTAAAGCAATACATATTTTTATAGGAAAGTTGACAAATACACAAAAGTTGAGAAAAAGAAAATCAAAATCATCTGTGATCTTACCACCCCCAAATAACTGCTTTTAACTTTTTACCATTTTTCCTCGAAGCCTTGTTTCTATTCATAGACACACTTTTAATTTTTCTCTTTTTTTTCACTTTACAGATCATGACCATTTTCTCCATCATTAAATATTCTTCAGACACCTCAATGCATAGGCGAAACCGTGCTGCCTGCCCCGCAATTCATTCATGTAAGCAAGTCCCCTCCATGAGGCACCCAGCTTGTTTCCAACTTCTTTCTATAAATATTTTGAAATATTTCCAGGTAATGGAAAATACATCTTCTAGAAAGAAAGAAAGAAAGAAAGAAAGAGAGAGAGAGAGAGAGAGAGAGAGAGAGAGAAAGAAAGAAAGAAAGAAAGAAAGAAAGAAAGAAAGAAAGAAAGAAAGAAAGAGAAAGAAATCCCCTGCCCCTTTCCTCCTGGAACCACAAATTTCCCTAAAGAGTGTTTGTGCATTGGGGTCTTCAGCTCTCTAGGGTGATAAATTCCTGCTCAACATTCCTCCAGGAGCACTCAAGAGGTGTCCTTCAACAGATGAATGGATAAATAAAATGTGGTGTGTGTGTGTGTGTGTGTATACACACACACACATCAGATTATTACTCAGCCATAAAAAATGACTTTTGCTAGTAAATGGATAGATCTGGAGACTATCATGCTAAGTGAAATAAGACAATCCTAAAAAAACAAAGATTGAGTGTTCTCTCTGATATGCAGGGAAGAATAGAAGTTCATTGGATCAGAAAAAAAGGGTAATGAAGGGAAAGGAGGTGGGATGGGAATAGGAAAGACAGTAGAATGAATGGGACATAACCTTCCTGTGTTCATATATGAATATATGACCAGTGAAATTCCACATCATGTATAACCACAAGAATGGGATCCTAATTAGAATAAGTTATACCCCATGTATGTATAATATGTCAAAGTACTCTCTACTGTCAAGTATATCTAAAAAGTAACAAATTTTTTAAAAAAGAAGAAGGAGTCCTGTAAGAAGAAAGGCAGCCACTTTGGAGCTGAGAAGTACTACTTTTTTTTTTTAAACCCTAAGATAAAAAGTGCCCAGTTGAGTTTGGAAAACTCCCAACTCAGCAAACTTAACTTCATTGGAACTTGAGAACAGGGATATTGGTTTTTGAGGCATGAATTAGAAAACACTTCATGGATTTCTGGAACCTACGGCTCACTTCACCTCCTTTTTCCTTGCATGAGGAGAGCACATATTGCTTGGACAACATCTGAGAAAAATTCCCTAAGAGGCACCCCACAAGAGGAAAAGAGACTGTGGTTATAGTTAGTTTTAGATTGAAAATTGCTTCCGTGAGGAGTGTAAATTTGCGTGACAGTTTGGAGAGGTTAGCCGTACCTGTCATAATGTACAAAGCCCAACACCTCTGACTCAGCAGATCATTCTGCTGGGAATTTTCTGTTCTCACAAAAGATCATAAACACACAAGTACCCAATTGGAGGCTGCAGCATTTTCTTGCAGAACAAAAAAAACCAGAGGGCGGGGTTGTGGCTCAGTGCTAGGACACTTGCCTAGCACATGTGAGGCCCTGGGTTCGATCCTCAGCACCACACAAAAATAAATAAATAAAGTTCTGTCCACCTACAACTAAGAAAGTCTTAAAAAACCTGAAACA